TATATATATATATATATATTCATTCAATTAACAACATTAACAAAACCAAAATCTTTCATATTATTCCCAAAAGTTATCATCAGTTTAAAAATTATACAGTGAAAACAAACTAAAAATATATCAATACGTTGTCAAAGGCTTTCATGGCCGGAGTTCATTAGTTGTTGTAGATTTTCCGGGCCGTATGGCCGTGGTCTTGGCATTGTAAGACCTGACATTTCGCCAGCAGCTGTGACTGGCATCCTCAGAGGTATAACACAGAAAGATGGAGTACTCTCTGTGTCAAGGTGAGAAGAAAAAGGGTAGGCAGGTAATTTATATCTACTCAGGAAGGTGGGGTAGGGCTGAGTCATAATCTTGTAGGAGTCCCCCAGGCTGTGACACGCTAATGGAGGAGCTTTCCTGAGGAGGTTCTTTTACATATGGATTGGCTGTTGAAATTCTAATCTTATCTGTAGTGCTGTTGTATGATGTAGAACATTTTGTGTTTTTCAGGACAGGAGACCATGCCCTATTTATTTTTAAAACTCTCTTCTTTCCTGTTGAAATTGTGTTTATGAATTTCAATGGATTCCCTGTGTAATCTGACATGGTAATTGGATGTGTTATCCAGCCGTTCAGTGGTTTGGAATAAGATACTGTGTCCCGTTTGAGTTAGGCTATGTTCAGCCACTGCTGATTTTTCAGGTTGGTGCAGTCTGCAGTGTCTTTCAAGTGCTTTTATTCTTGTCTGAATGCTACACTGTGTGGTCCCGATGTAAACCTGTCCACAACTGCATGGTATGCGGTATACTCCTGCAGAAATGTCTTTTGCTGTCTTTTGCTGATCATAGCATCTGTTGTATTCTTCTGGTCGGTCTGAATACTGTTTGTAGGTTGTGTTTTTTCATAATTTCCCCCATCTTATCAGTGATTCCTTTGATATATGGCAAAAGCACTTTTCCTGTGGGAGACTGTTTTTCCTCAGTTCTTGGTTTTACCTTCAGTTTAATTGCTCTTCTGATTTCGTTCTTGGAGTATACCTTCTTCTGCATGTCACAGCTGGGGGAACTCCTACAAGATAATGACTCAGCCATACTCCACCTTCCTGAGTAGATATAAATTACCTGCCTACCATTTTTCTTCTCACCTTGACACAGAGAGTACTCCATCTTTCTGTGTTATACCTCTGAGGATGCCAGTCACATCTGCTGGCGAAACATCAGGACCTACAATACCAAGACCACAGCCATACAGCCTGGAAAATCTACAACAACTAATAAAAATATATCGTTTCTTGATACAGAGGATTGTTAGGTATGATGCTATTTTCTGCCATATAGCTCATAAAGGAAATCCTACAGCTACAAAGTTTTTGTTATATGTTTCTGTAGGGCTGAGGGATTCTGAGCCACTTGATCCAAATGCCATTCCATACCTGAGAAGGGAGCTGCCTTAGCAGGTAAGGAGGCAGAGTCCAAATCCTCAGGGTGCTTCTCAGACAATCCTGCACGGCGCTGAGCCTAGGGGCAGATCCAGACAATCCATATAAAATAAGCTGAAGCGTTGTTTCACTCTAGCTTTTAAACCCACCTGTCAAACAAACCCATCCGCTGCGTCCAGAGGACAAGTAACAGTTTTAGAAGCACTTTCTTCCTGCCCTTTGGCATCTCTGTCTCCAGCTTCAAATGCAAAAATTAGGGATGGGCAAATCTGCATGCTTCCTCGTTCCTTTTTTAATGTTGGCATTTAGCTCTTTTCATTTCTCCCTTTTTCATTGCTGGCATTCCCATTTTTGATGCCATTTTTACACCACTGATGCCAAATAAAGTTTATTTATTTATTTATTTATTTCCATTCCATTTATATCCCGCCTTCCCCGCACACAGGCTCAGGGCGGCTCACAGGCACAAAGTGCGATAAAAACAAAGATTAAAACAACAAAAGCTAAAATTAACAACTAACAGGATACATGAGAGACTAAAATTACACACTCCCCATTGCATATCAGGAGGAGGTCAGAAGATAAAAAAGATCTAAAAAGGGGGACGCCATGGGCCGCGATGTTCTAGTTACTCCATCGGCCCCACCCGGCGGTCCTGCTCCGTAGTTACGCGGTGGTGGTAGTGGCGGCGGCGGCTCCTACTCAAAAGCCTTGCGGAAGAGCTCCATCTTGCAGGCCCTGCGGAACTGTGAAAGGTCCTGCAGGGCTCTGATCTCCTCCGGGAGCTCGTTCCACCAGGTAGGAGCCGCCACCGAAAAGGACCTGGCCCTTGTGGTAGCTAGCCTGGCCTCTTTAGGGCCCGAGGTCACTAGGCGGTGTTGTGATCCCGAACGAAGTGCTCATTGGGACCTATATGAGGAAAGGCGGTCCCTCAGGTATGCCAGACCCTTGCCATGTAGGGCTTTAAAGGTAAGCACCAGGACTTTGAAGCGAATCCGGTACGCTATAGGCAGCCAGTCCAGCGCCTTCAACACAGGTTGGATGTGTTCCCATTTAGGGGCACCCACCAACAACCTGGCCACCGCATTCTGCACCAGCTGCAGCCTCCGGATTTGCAACAAAGGCAGCCCCATGTAGAGAGCGTTACAGTAGTCAAGCCTCGAGGTGACCGTCGCATGGATCACTGTAGCCAGATCGCCACGGCTGAGGAAGGGGACCAACTGCCAAACCAGCCGGAGATGATAAAAGGCTGCTCTGGTAGTAGCCGCTACTTGGGCCTCCATCGTTAAGGTGGGGTCCAGGAGCACCCCCAAACTCCTAACCTCCGAAGTTAAAATATGGATCAATTTCAGAGGAGAATGTGCTTCATGGAAACAGAAAATGATGTGAAAAGAAAAGCACTGTGGGTCTGGTTTGGAGAAGCAAACTCCAAATGAAAGGTTTTTGAATCGAGATGGCACAGTTGCAATATCGGATCGCTTTCCTCCTCCTTACCTCCTCAGCTGCCTGCTTCCAGTTCATCCGGGAGACATAGACGATGCAGCAGGTGCAGGGGATGAAGGCACAAATCAGCATGCCCAGCCAAAGCCCTGCAGGGAGGAGAGGGCCCGGTCAGGGGGGGGCTCTTGCCTGCTTTCCTAGCCCCTTGCGCCACCTCCATTTTCCCCACTGCAGAACCGATTTCTGTTTGGGGGCTGCCAACTGACCAGGAAGATCTCACCAGGCTTGGTCTTGTGCTTTTAAGGACAACAGCCTGTTCCGATATCAGCCTCACATAGCAGGGGGACCTGGATAGCCCAGGCTAGCCCAATCTCAGAAGCTAAGCAGGGTCGGCCATGGCTAGTATGTGGAAGAGTGACCTCCAAGGAATACCAGGGTTGTGATGCAGGGGCAGGCAATGGCAAACCACCTCTGAAATGTCTCCTGTCTAAAAAAAGAAGTCTAGCTTGCCACCTAGTGGTAGATAATGCAAAAGTAGCTAGAACTCATGACTGCCAGACAATCTTAGGATCGCCTGGCTATACTACACGCAAGGCCATACGATTAGTAGTTGTAGTAGTAGTAGAGAGAACTCGTGGGCACTCCATGAAATTGCTGAGCAGTCGGGTTAGAACAGATAAAAGGAAGTCCTTCTTCACCCAAAGAGTGATTAACACTTGGAATTCACTGCCCCAGGAGGTGGTGGTGGCTACAAGCATGGGCAGCTTCAAGAGGGAGTTAGATAAGCATATGGAGCAGAGACCCATCAGTGGCTATTAGTCACAAGGTCTAGATAGGAACTCTCAGGCTGAGGCAAGGGATGCTCTGTATTCTTGGTGCTTGGGCGGTGGGCAACAGTGGGAGGTCTCCTAGTGTCCTGGCCCCACTGCTGGCCCTCCTGAGGGCACCTGGTATTTTTGGCCACTGTGTGACAGAGCGTTGGACTGGATGGGCCATTGGCCTGATCCAACATTGGCCTCTCTTATGTTCTCTTATTATCTTAAATGATCCTCCAAGAATGCATGCAGATGAATAATGTTTCAAAAATGCAGATGCTTCTTCAAGACTAGAGAGGAGGGGCTTTAGCAGGCTAGTAGCACCTGCATCAGATGCTGGATCAATAAGCTGATCAGAAAGAAGCGGAAAGAGTAACGGCTCGCCAACATGCTGGCAACTTCTCCGTGCCCTGCCATTTTCGCTTAGGGACAGGACGTGCAGGTCATTTCCTGGGTATGCATACGGCGTTATTTCATACTGAGGTGAGGGATGCCGACTCTGTGCTGGACTTGATGCTCCAGAGTCTGTGCTGCTGCCCTGCTCTCCCTTCCCCACTCCCTCCCTCCAGCAGTTTCTTTCCCTGTTATTTTCAAAACACAGCAACATCTGGATTTTTTAAGTGTGGTTTTATATAGTTATAAACGGCTTTTTTGGTTGGAAAAGCCCGGCATAACAGACCACGCCCAACAGCGGAAACTCATTAGCCTATTAGGCCACACCCCTGACAGTGCAGCTCATTAGCATATTAGGCCACACACCCCATGCCTTCCCTTGGCTTGCCTGGGTGCCCCGCGGCTGTGGGGAGCAAGCCGGCCTTTGGACAGGCCGGGGGAGGCATTTAAATGCCTCCCCAGTCCTTCCAGACACCCCTCCCGGCCCGCCTGCCTTGGAATGGCCATGGGGGGTGTTGCTCTCCAGGCCTTCCCTCTGTAGCCACGCAAGCGCAGAGGTTATGGCTGTAGTGGGCGTGGCCAACTCTGAAGCCAGCCGGAACTCCGTTCCTGTGCGTTCCTGCCACAAAATAGCCCTGGTTATAAAACTCTACAGGTTTAAAAAAAACAAAAACCCAGAGGGGCCAAACTCTGTGTCCTGGTTTGGATCTCGCCTCTGCCCCCCAACTCACTAAGTGGTCATTGCCGAGACACAGTGTAACGTTGCCAACTTTGGGTTTGGAAGTACCTGGAGATTTGAGGGTGGAGCCTAGGGAGGACTCTTGAGAGTCCCTTGGACTGCAAGAAGATCAAATCGGTCAGTCCTAAAAGAAATTGACCCTGACTGTTCCCTGGAAGGCCAGATAATGAAACTGAAGCTCAAATACTTTGGCCACCAAAGGAGAAGGGAGCACTCACTTGAGAAGACCCTGATGCTGGGAAAGATTGAAGGTCAAAGAAGACAGAGACGGCAAAGGATGAGATGGTTAGACAGTGTCATAGATGCAACGAACATGAAGTTGAGCCAACTTCAGAGGACGGCGGAAGACCGGAAGGGCTGGCGTGATCTGGTCCATGGGGTCGCGAAGAGTTGGACTCGACTGTGCGACTGAACAACCACCACCTAGGGAAGTGGGTGTTAGGGAGGGCAGGAACCTCAGTAGGGTAGAATGCTGCACGATCCAACTTCCAAAGCAGCCGTTTTCTCCGGGAGAAGTGGCATAAATGTTTTAAGGAAATAATAAATAAGCTGTCTATGTAGTCTGGAGATCCCCTGTAATTCCAGCAGATCTCCAGACCTTCCCTGGAGGTTGGCAACCCCAACAGAGTGTCCGTCCTGTTCAATAAAAGGGGTTGGAACTTTTGGAACACACGAGAACACGTGAAGCTTCCTCATAAAGAATCAGAGCCTTGGTCCACCAAAGCCAGCCTTGCCTACTCAGACAGGCAGCAGCTCTCCAAGGTCTCAGGCGGAGGTCCTTCACATCACCCACTGCCTGACCCTTAACTGGAAATGCTGGGAATTGAACCTGGGACCTTCTGCACGCCGGGCAGATGCTCTACCACTGAGCCACAGTCCCTACGTGCTATGATAGCGGCACGGCTTTTACCAAGCTGTCTTCCACTTTCACCCAAGAACAAGCAAGAGACCTTCTACTGCCCTGCAAAGTGCCCTGCGTGAAACACTCCTCCGCCCCGGCATCCTCAGTCCCAGTACCTATCAGCCCAATTTTGGCCACGAAAAGCAGCACCACCACGATCGGCAAGCCCACCACGTAATAGCCGATGGCGTTGAAAATGGCGCCCAGCTTCTGCTTGCCCGTCCCGCGTAAAATTCCGCTGCCCGAACTCTGTGGAAAGGAGAGGAAGAGGGACGAGTAATTCCTTGCGGGGTTCGTCTCAAGGCATCGACTATGCCCCACAGTCCAGCAAAAGGCCCTTGACCCACCCGTTCTCTTCGGGGTTGGAAGAGGATCCCAAAGCAACTGTATGGCAGAGGCCCCTTTCTTAAGAACATCAGAGACGCCAATGTTGGATCAGGCCAGTGGCCCATCCAGTCCAACACTTTGTGTCATACAGTGGCCAAAAATACCAGGTGCCTTCAGGAGGTCCAGCAGTGGGGCCAGGACACTAGGAGCCCTCCCACTGTCCCCCCCCCCAAGCACTAAGGATACAGAGCATCACTTGTTCCAGACTGAGAGTTCCTATCTATCCTTTGTGGCTAATAGCCACCGATGGACTTCTGCTCCTAGAAAAAGCCCAGCAGGAACTCATTAGCATAATAGGCCACACCCAACAACAGAAACTCATTAGAATATCCAGCCACACCCATGAAAGCATAGCTCATTAGCATATTAGGCCACACCCCCATGCTACCAAAAGTGCCGACATCCAGCCACACCCACCTTTTGCTTCTTATTCTGTTTACCTTGTTTGTTGTCAAAACGCCAGGGCTTTTTTTGTAGCAGGAACTCCTTTGCATTTTAGGCCACACACCCCTAATGTAGCCAATCCTAATGAGTTTCTGCTGTTGGGTGTGGCCTATTATGCTAATGAGTTCCTGCTGGGCGTGGTCAACTTGGGAGCCAGCCGGAATTCCGTTCCTGTTCCTGCCCAAAAGTAGCCCTGTACTTATCTAATTCCCTCTTGAAGCCGTCCATGCTTGTAGCTGCCACCACCTCCTGTGGCAGTGAATTCCGTGTGTTAATCACTCTTTGGGTGAAGAAGGACTTCCTTTTATCCGTTCTAACCAGGACAGATAAAAGGAACCAGGCCCGGAAGGACCAGCAGAAAACAGGAGTTTGTCCCGGAGGTGTCTGAGACGCTCTCCCAGGCCTGGGCAGGGAATGCCTGGGGAGGCAGCGGAGTTTGCCTTTTGAATGCTGCTGCGTCTTTCAGGGTTCTCCACTCCCTGGTCCAGGATGCGGTCAGTGTTCGCATTTTTGTGCACGAGGGGGGTGCGCTTAGGAGGGTGCCTACGCCTGGCTCTCCTGATCAAGGGTAGCCCAGCTAGCTGCACCGAGACGTGTCCTCCCGTTCTGGCGAACTTTAGAAAAGCCAGAAGGAGCATAAGAAGGAATCAGTCAATATAAAGGACTCCGGGGTTCCCTGCTCCCAAATGTGTCTCAGTCTTGCATGTGTGGGCCTGGATTTCCCCCTCCCTCCCTCCCTTTTTTTTGCAAAATCACAGAGGGAGGGAGGGAGGGAGGGACGGTGCTCCCTCTGTGCTCCCTCTAAGCTATGAAGTCTTGTGAGCAAAACTTCCACTTTGTGAGCTACTGGCATTAAAGTTGTGTGCAAGCAATTTGGCTACTGCATAAATGAGTTTGCACAGACATCCTGCCTGATCTAAGAGGAAAATGTGTGAGCCGGAGGCTAAAAAACTGTGAGCTAGCTCACACTAACTCAGCTTAGAGGGAACATGGGTGTGCAGTTAAAAGTCCTGAAAAATGTTTGCCTTTCTCTTTGTTTTAGACAAAGCAGCCAGTTAGCTCAAAAAATGTGGGTTTTATTTTAGACGCAGAATGCATACAGAATACACAAATAAATAAACCAGAGGGGAAAACCCAGTGCAGAGCAGGCCCGTAGCTACCACGGGGCCCGTGGGGCCCGGCCCCCTAGTGGCTCTTATGGGCCTCCCTCCCTGAGCCTTGACTCCCCCTCCCCCTGGTTGCCTGTCGGGGGGGGGGAGGATGAGGGCAGCAAAAGAAGCAGCGTAGGCAGAGAGGCTGGGCTGAGAGATGCTTGTGCCTGGCTGGCCAGCAGCAGGTAAGCCCAGCCAGGCCGGGCAAGGAGGCAAGCAGGCTCCTCGTCTTCCCTTGCCAGGTGCATCTGGCTGCGTGCCAATGTGCCCACATGCCACACCTTCGTGCCACCGCAGGCCTCCCCTCTCCCAGCCCTAGGAGGGAGCCAAGGGTGGAGGCCACGCAGGCCTCGCCTCTCCCGGCCCTAGGAGGGAGCCAAGGGTGGAGGCCAGGCTGCCCCTGGTGCAGTGACGTGGGAAAGGGTATTGGGGCTCCTTGGGGAGGGAGGGCAGGAGCCAGACACTCCAGAGGGAAGGGCTGCCCTTGCTGGGGGGGAGGCAAGCCCCCCCCGATTTAATTAGCTGTTGGGCCCCCCCACCAAAAAATCCCTAGCTATAGGGCTGGTGGTGCAGAGGGAATGCTTGCGACTGCGAAGTCAGCCCTGAAGGCCTTGGGTTCTCTGGAGCCAGCTGTCCGTGCAGAAAGGGCCAAAGGGAGGTTTGATTCGCCTGCTGGGCATCAGGGCCCTGTTTACCTCTGCCTGCCGTGGCGCCTCCTTGGAACAGAATGACCCCAGGCGAGGACAACCGGAGCCCTGGCCTGCTTTTCTAAACCTGCCCGTTTTTAGGTTTTTGCACCATTTTCTGTTTACCTTACGTGGAATCTTTGAAGCAAAAACAATGTGCATGATTTTTTTGTGGGGGGGAATTGGCACAAGACTCACGGGTTCCGTTTGTACGAGAGAGAAGTGAAATCAAAATGGAGCCTGGGGGGTTTGAGATTCAGTAAGGAGCAACCCCAGTGGAATCCTGCCCACAACCTGCTGCGAGACGGCGAGAGACCCGCCCCCACCCCCTGTGGCAGCAGAGGGACTTACGCAGAGGGCTTCGAAGAGGTGGAAGGCCACATAGACTGGCATCACCCAGGCCACGAGCGCCGTGATCTCTCTATTTCGGAGGAAGAAGAAGAATTAATAGAAGAGGAGGTCAGTCAAAGGACCAAACCGCCGTTCTTATTGGCTCATCTTGCCAAGTTGTGTGCCAGAGGCCGTCCCCTCCAGCCAACAGGCACAGCTTTCTGTCTAGAATCACCCTGAGGAGGGCTGGTCTGATCTGATTGGCAGGACCCTGCTTTCCTAAGCACTGGATCTGAGGTCCCCAACATGGCGCCCCAGGGCAACACGGGGCTCACTGACACTTTCCTGGTGCTTGGGAACTTCTATTTTAGAAAGGCCCTGGTATTCCTTGGAGGTCTCCCATCCAATGCTCCCTCTAAGCTATGAGCAAAAATTCTACTTTGTGAGCTCCTGGGCTTAAAGTTGTGAGCGAGCAATTCGGTTACCGCATAAATGAGTTTGCTCTGCAGCCCTCCTTCCTGAGCTAACAGAAAAATGTGTGAGCTGGAGGCTAAGAAACTGTGAGCTAGCTCACACTCACTCAGCTTAGAGGGAGCACTGCTCCCATCCAAGTATCAGCCTGGGTCGGCCCTGCTTAGCTTCCAGGCTAGCCTGGGCTGTCCAGGTCAGGGCCAAGCCCTCTTGACCTCAGTCCCTCCACACACATCTGTAACATGAAGACAGCCACTTTAAGGGCTGTTGTTTGGGCTGCCTCCTAATTAAACCATTCTTACCTGCAGGGCTTTTTTTGTAGAAAAAACCCAGCAGGAACTCATTAGCATAACTGGCCACACCCAACAGCAGAAACATATTAGCATATTAGGCCATACCCCTGACAACACAGCTCATTAGCCTATGAGGCCACACACCTGTGTTACCAGTGTGCTCACCCAGCCACACCCACCTTTTGCTTCTTATTCTGTTTACCTTGTTTGTTGTCAAAACCCAAGGCCTTTTTTTGTAGCAGAAACTCCTTTGCATGTTAGGCCCCACACCCCTAATGTAGCCAATCCTAATGAGTTTCTGCTGTTGGGTGTGGCCTATTATGCTAATGAGTTCCTGCTAGGCGTGGCTAACTCAGGAGCCAGCCGGAACCCCGTTCCTGTGCGTTCCTGCCCAAAAATAGCCCTGCACCTGTATGAGATTTCCCACACAGTCCTAAAGAGAGCAGCACTTTCCTAAGCCCATCGACTTAATTGGAGTTTGAAGGGTGTAACTCTAGGACCGTAGTCAGGGGCGGACTAAGGCTCACCGGTGCCCTAAGCACTGACCAATCTTGGTGCCCCCCCCCTCCACACTGACCCAGTCCATTGTAGTTGTTGACCTGTGTGACCAGATATACCATGCAGGTTGCAGCAACTGACAACTGAATTTGGCTCCATCATTTTACGTTTAAACACATGCATTTTACTTTTAAACATAGCCTATGACACTGCACCTCGCCAACAAAAAATACAAGAGAACCCTAGGGTGCACCATGATCAATTTGCACTAGTTTTATCAATTTTTTTAAACAAATCTTAATTCGTTTTTTTTCTTCTTTTCACCTTTTTCCCAACTTTGTGGTGCCCCCTTTGGCCCTGGTGCCCTAAGCACGTGCTTCGTCTGCTTAATGGTTAATCCGCCCCTAACTGTAGTTCTGGTCAATTAAATCTACATAAATGTGTATATAAGACCAAAAAGCATATATCCTTTGTTACAGATGATGTCTGCCCTTGAGCCACACCAACTCAGAAGAGTAATTTTCTCCTTTGTAAGAAAGGCAGGCCTGGGTAGTACTTGGAGGGAAGACCCCCAAGAAAGTCCAAGGTCATGGCGCAGAGGCAGGCAATGGCAAACCATCTCTGGACGTCTCTTGCCTTGGAAACCCTGCAGGGTCACCCTTTGCAACGTCTTAAAAAGGTAAAGGTTCCCTTGCTCGAAAGCCAGTCGAATGTGGCTCTAGGGCTGCAGTGCTCATCTCCATTTCAAAGCCGAAGAGCCAGCGCTGTCCAAAGACGTTTCCGTGGTCATGTGGCCGGCATGACTAAACACCAAGGCACACGGAACGCTGTTACCTTCCCACCGAAGTGGTACCTATTTATCTACTTGCAGTTTCTTGCTTTCGAACTGCTAAGCTGGCAGGAGCTGGACCTAGAGACGGGAGCTCACTCCGTCATGCAGCAATTTGGGTCTCGAACTGCTGAACTACCGACCTTCCACAGCCTGCAGTTCAGCATCTTAATCACTTGAGCCACCGCAGCTCCTCTGCATGACTATGAGATATGACTCGAGTGTTTGCCAAATGGATTATAACAATATATAGGTATTTCAACGCTACCCACATTGATAAAGGTATACACGAAACGAGATGTAATATGCAGGTTTCATTGGCTGTCACGGCTCCGGTAGGGTGTCACCTGACGCTGCCACCACTCTGGATTTAGGTTCCCTTGAGAAGGCCCAGAGCACCCTCCCAAGACCTTCAGACCTCCCTTTTGGCCGAATAACAGGCGTGAGGACCAGGCAGAGTACAACAAGGAAAAGGTTTGTTTTATAGGAGGTCAAACAACAAGGTGCAGGAATAATAACAGTAAGTGGGTGAAAAGAAAAAAAAATCAAATGCCCTAACGCGTCTAAACTTACTGTCCCTAGCTCACTGTCTCAAGTGGGCCTCAGTCTGCTCACTCTTCCTCTCAGGATGAGGGTCTCTTCCCTGCAGCAGCCTTCCCTCTGGCTCTGGCACCAGCTCTTTTGTTCCCCAGCCCTCTTCTTCCCTGTTGGTCAAAATCAGCGCCAAAACTTCCCAAGGCCTTCTGGGATTTGTAGGCCCAGCCTCCCCTACTGCTAGCCAGGCTCCCTGGGCCTAGTAGGCCTCTGGTGGCACAGCCCATATCATGACAATGGCATTTGAATGGCTTTAATATTGTATGCCAATAAAAGGTATTTGAATTGAACTGATACTGAAAAAAGATCGGGAGGACCATGTTACTCACTCGTCACTGGTAAAGATGTAGGCTAGGATATCTTTCGTCCCCATCAAGATGACACCCATCAGGAGGGCAAAACCCACTGGGAAGAAAGGAGACGGCACGGTCAGCGTAGGGTTGCAACATGGAATATTGTCCGGTGGGTAGAGTTTTACCCAGAATCCCAGTCCCAGCATTGTCCTAATTATCATAGCAACTAAAGAACGTCATGTGTAGAATCCCCAAAGATATTCTTAGTCAGTAGACCAGACCTACATCTTCCAAACTGTAGTTAGACATGATTTCCATCTGTTGCGAGTTAGGACCACCTGGAAGCACCTGAGTTAGAAGCACTGTCTGGGACAGCAGTGTTCTGTATTCGTGGTGCTTGGGGGGCAACAGTGGGAGGGGCTTCTGGAGTTCTGGCTCTGCTGGTGGACCTCCTGGTGGCCCCTGGTATTTTTGGCCACTGTGTGACACAGAGCGTTGGACTGGGTGGGCCACTGGCCTGAGCCAACACTGGCTTCTCTCAGGGCTCTTTTTGTAGAAAAAGCCCAGCAGGAACTCATTAGCATAATCGGCCACACCCAACAGCAGGAACTCATTAGCATATTGTACCACACCCCTGACAGCACCACCCATTAGCACATTAGGCCACATCCACATGTTACCATAAGTGTGGTCATCCAGCCACACCCACCTTTTGCTTCTTATTCTGTTTACCTTGTTTGTGGTCAAAACCCAAGGCTGGGTTTTGCATGTTAGGCCACACACCCCTAATGTAGCCAATCCTAATGAGTTCCTGCTGTTGGGTGTGGCCTATTATGCTAATGAGTTCCTGCTGGGTGTGGCCAACTTGGAAGCCAGCCGGAACTCCGTTCCTGTGCGTTCCTGCCCAAAAATAGCCCTGGCTTCTCTTATGTTTTGTTATGTTCAGCATTCCTTCTTTTGTTGGCACTCTATGCATTGTTTCATCGGTGTTTAGCATTTTACTGTATACCCTACCAGTGACATCCATCGTCAATAATACATTCAATGATATTATTAAGGGAATTATTATATTTGTGTTTTGAAGCCACAGCAATAAATATACTCCCAGTGGTACTAGTGCAATTTTTATGTCCACAAAACGAATTTTAAGTTGTAAATATAATAAGAGGTTCCTTGAAAGTGTATAAATGTCCTCCTTTGAAAAAGTGGGCCTTTTGTTTCTATTGTGGTGGGACCCAGATTCTTTAATGGATCGATGGGACGTAAGATACTAAAGGTGGATGGAGGACATGCAGTGAGTCCACGATTGCCAGCTCAAGGTTGGGAAGTTCCTGGAAATCTGGGAGGTAGAAAAGGACTTCCACGGAGTATAATGCCCTAGTAAAAGCATTATAAAGCAGCCATTACAGGCGACGAAGATCAGTTCACCTGTAGAAAATGTCTGCTTTGGAAGGCGGACTCTGTGGCATCATGCCCCACTGAAGCCTCTTCCCTCCCCAAACCCCAGTCACTTCCAGTTCTCAATAAGGTCAAATCACAGCAAGGACACTTGATGGCTGAAACACATGGAGTTCACTTGTTGAATGAATGTGACTGTATAAGCAGTTTACAGGGTTAATTTGTAGAAAAAGAGGTGTGGGCACTCATTTGCATAGCTTATTAGCATAATGTATTTGCATATGCCACACCCCCTGACATCACCGGAAGTGTGTCAGGAGGCAACACCCACCACTCAGGCTCCACTGGACTGTTTTGGATGGCTAGCTATTGGGGGGGGGGGGGAATGTGCAGATCTGTCCTCACAGAGGAGGGAGAGCTTGTACCTGAATAAGACTTGGTCTTAAAGGTGCCACTGGACTGTTTTGGGCCAGGGGGCCGGGGGGGCTCTGCAACTTACCTGGCTGCTTCTTGCTCTGACTGAGGGCTGCTGGGAGCAGGGGGTGGGGCTTGTTGCATGTGCCTGCCCCCTGGGCTCTTTACTGCCAGAGCTCTACTCATGTGCGCTCCTGCAGGAAATGACCCCTGGTAGTTTATAAGGGACACTAAATGATTGCTGAATTTTTGATACCTAATTTAGTTTAGGGCTGCCAACCCCCCCGGTAGGGCGGAATTCCCCCCGCCCCGGAGGCCCGTTACCCGACGCCGGGGAATTGGGGCCCCGGGGGGAACTCCGCCCCGGCGTGCGCGTCACCCGGAAGTGACGTCCCACGCTGGGGGCGGGGCCACGCCATTTGAGGGGAAAACAAAGAGTTTTCCCCTCAAATGGCGTGGCCCCGCCCAGCGTGTGACGTCACTTCCGGTGACGCTCTGGCGGCATCTACAAACGGCTCCCGGACCGGCAGGAGGCTCCCCCGACGGTACGTATTTCGGATTTGGCAACCCTAATTTAGTTGTTTATATAAATTGTAATCTGCGTTATTTTTCACAGTGTGTATACTTAGTTTGACCACTTGGAGTCTTGCAACCCTAAATTAGTCCCAGATTTGTAAGGGCCACACCTGCTTAGAGAGTCTGTTTCTTTTATTACTAATTCAAAAGTTAAAGTCTGATATTTATTTTTGGAAGCTGTGGAGACTGGAATTTGGCCAGCCTGAAAAATCTCGACACGAGTGACTGGATGGTGATTATTTTCTTTTTTACACAGCCCAGGTTCAAACTTTGTATTGGCCAAGATTCAGTGACACTCTCATAAAAATGTTACGGTTATTGTCTGCGGTTTGGACTCTCTTCTCGGATTCACGCCTCTTACTTGACCATCTTCCACGTAAGGGGTGGGAGAGAGGAGGAAACGGGTGGGGCTCGCTTCCGGACTGTGGATCCCTCCTGTGGCAAACAGGAAGATGTCACCGAAATGGTGGTGGGGGTGAGGAGGAGCCAACGGCCTCAGCAGGCGCAGGCTTCACTGCTGCAGAGTGAGGGAGCTCTACTTTCCCCTGCCTGTGTTGCTCTACTGACCCGTGTTTCGGCTGGGGGGCCAGGCCTATAGCAGGAGACCTCCATTCCTTGCTGCTGCTTGACAGGCCAGGAGAGGGGGGGGGTTCCTTCGGTGTCACACCAATGCACAGCCTAACTTCCATCACAAAACCGGAAGTGACGTCATCACACTGGGGCAACATTCTAGGATTCACCCCAAACTTTATGGTTTAACCATAGAGTTTGGGGTACGGTTGCCAACTCTGAGTTGGGAGATTCCTGGAGCTATGGGAGTGAGGCCTGGGGAGGGTGAGGTTTGTGGTGGGATCTCGGGGGGGGGGTATAATGGCATACAGCCCACCCTCGAAAGCCGGCGTTTTCTCCAGGTAAACTGACCCTGAGAGGGAGCCAAAGAAGGTGGCTGACTGAGGAAAGGAAAGAGAGAGATTTCTGAGAAAAAGAGGAGCAGGGAGAGTTCTGAGGAAACGAGGAAAGAACGAGCGATTTCTGAGGATAAAGAGTGTTTGTGTGCTGCCAGTCAGACAACTGATCTTGAGAGACCCAGGGTCCAACTCAGGATAGGGCAGCTCTGTACAGGTCGGCTAATGCCAATCACATTTCTGTCTGTGTCATTTTACTTCTGGACGCCGCAAAGTGACACATACCTGTGCACATAAGGGCGACCACCGAAGTCCTCTTGGCCTCCTCCTCGTTGCCAGCCCCTAAGGCGTTGCCCACCAAGACGCTGGCCGATGTGCCAATCCCAAACGGAATCTGGGGGGAATGATGCAAGCGGCAGCTGAGCAGGTGGCCTGGGTGCGGAAGATGTCCCTCTTTTAATGCCCTCCCCCAGGGGTCATTTCGTAGAAAAAGAGGTGCAGGAGCTCATTAGCATAACTCTTTAGCATAACTCATTGGCATATCTTATTTGCATGTGCCACACCACCTGACATTACTGGAGATGTATCAGAAGGCAACACCCACCGCTCAGGCTCCACTGGACTGTTTTGGATTGCTAGCTATTTTGGGGGGGGGGGAAGGCGGATCTGCCCCGGCGGAGGAGGGAGAGCTGAATAAAACTTGGTCTTTGGGGGGGGCTCCGCAACTTACCTGGCTGCTTCTTCCTCTGACTGAGGGCTGCTGGGAGCAGGGGTGGGCTTGTTGCATGTGCCCGCCCCCTAGGCTCTTTACTGCCGGAGCTCCGCTCCTGTGCGTTCCTGCAGGAAATGACCCCTGCCCTTCCCAATGCTCCTGAAGCCTGCAGAGAGTTTGCTGGCCTAAAACACCCCCCCTATTTGTGTTTAATATGTGTGTTTAATTTCCTATTTTTTATCTTTTACAGAAACTTGTTTTGTGGTCCATATTGAATTTATATTTTGTATCCATTCTGATTGTGTCTGCATGAGTGTATTATATTTTTATAGCCATCTTGCCACTCAATTGTTTGACCTCTGAGGAAGGCCTACGCAGGCCGAAACGCGTCAGGTCAAGTCCATTAGATTCTGGTATTTTTACATGAGGTGTGATTGGGCCCTTATATATATTTAAAATTCTTTGTTAATAAATACATGTATCTTTTTATGTACCATATATTAAGCTTTTACTGTTGGCCCTCTTTTGCCTATAAACACACCAGCGAACAGGAGCTTGTAACAGCAGGAGATCTCCACGTAGGGTTGTCAGGTTCCCCCTGGCCACCAGCGGGGGGATGTGGGATAGGGCTTCCAGATCTAGGTTGGGAAACCCCTGGAGTTTTGGGGATGGAGAAGGACAAGCACCTCAGTGGGGTACAATGTCATAGCATCCATCCTCCAAAGCATCCGTTTTTTCCCCAGGGGAACTGACCTCTGTAGTCTGGTGATGAGCTGTAACTCCTGGGGATCTCCCCTGGAGGCTGGCATCCCTATCTCCAGGCGCAATCTGGAGAGCACAGGAAACACCGTGTTGAAATAATAAACACAACATTCACATGTACTTATAGCTACAGGGCTATTTTTGGGCAGGAACGCAGAGGAACGGAGTTCCGGCTGGCTCCCAAGTTGGCCACGCCCAGCAGGAACTCATTAGCATAATAGGCCACGCCCAACAGCAGAAACTCATTAGGATTGGCTACATTAGGGGTGTGTGGCCTAACATGCAAAGGAGT